AATGATAGCATTTTAGCAATCATAGTTTGTTACAGAGATAATCTTCAGATCTTCTGCCATAAGTAAATTTTGGTGTGAGTTAAGACAGTAAGAGGCAAAGGGAACTCTTCTTAGACACCAGCTTTAATAGAACTCCCTGGATATATTGCCGAAAAGACACATCAAGTCTGGGAATTAGAACTTTTGACAAAGAGAGCTAGTTAGAGCAAACTTCTCTGACTGTGAAGGAGCCAACTGACAAAAGAAGAAGAGCCTAACTAAATCTGCTATCCGGCTCATCAGGAACTAATGCATTAATTTAATGTCTTAAACCTCGCAATTTCTTTCTGCGACAGCGATTGCTAACAATAGCTTGTGAGCAAACATAAGAAGTCTGTTGAAATAAAAACAAATGGAAAACCTTTTGAACCTCAGAGGCAGAAGAAAAATATAAAAATGTATTTTTTCTTCTGTGTTTGAGGCACATTAACATACGTTCCATATGCTCTTTTTCAGAGCTACCTAATGAACATACTATACTGTGCACCTTACAAAAAATATTATTCAGCATTTTCATTACCCATATGGCAGGTTATGTGCAGACCCCTGCATCCCTCATAATTAAACCTCCTGCCATTTTAATAAAAATCTATGAGTGAAGCCAAAAGAGCAGTGAAAAAAGTAGAATGCACCTTATAGGTAGTTTTAATTCAGACAGTCTAACTGTGCAGTCTTGTGTGGTGGCTTATCGATCTTTGTGGGACGCAACTCATTTTTGCCCCAGATAAAAATAATTATCTGCTAGATTGTTTACATTTATACAGTACCTTTTATATGTTAGGACTTCTGAGTGCAGATAATACAAGAGATTTTAACTTATTCTGCTGCTACACTGACAAACCCACATAGATGGGGATCACAAGCAAAGAAAATGATTAGCATTTCCAGGGTTAGGAACGTGATACAGTCATTGAGGAGAGGTCAGTAATTACTTTTAGGACATAATCATTAACAATTCATCAAATCATGCTGCTCTCTGCAGGCCATATGTTGAAAGTAAAATGTGGTCATCTCTGTAGAGCTGTGCCTGCTAAGGGAAAAAAAAAAGATCAGTTTCGGTTTGCAAACAGTGTTCATATACAGTAGGTTGATATAAATTATAATAGTTTGGAAAATAATTCAGGTACACTTGGCTCTTACAAATGTTATCTCATTTTAATTTTGGGATGGATATAGATATATATCCCTCTGGTTTAGGCATTATTGTTCTAGCAGTTATTTTAATTTATACAACTGCAATAACAGCTTCAAATCTTTTAACTTTTTCTCAAGCTCCTTTACATATAGAATCTGTATTTCTTAAATTCGTACAGTACATGTATATCAAGAGAGATCAGAATGAGACTTCTCTTGTCAAGTTTGGTATGTAAATGGCCTTTACTTCAAGTCAGGAGACTTGTCCAAAGGGCTTTACATTACATTCAGTCATTCACACACCCTAACCACTGATGGTGGCAAGCTACATCGTAGCCACAGCTGCAGGTGACAGAACTGCCATTGGGCAGTCTGACCACCATCAGTAGGTAATGTAGATGAAGTGTCTTGCCCCAGGACACAACGGAAATAAATAAAAGCCGGCTTGAACCGTCAACCCTTCGATTTCAGTGCAAACTCCTACATTCAATGCCACTTTCGCCCCACGTAAACAAGTAAAAAGTAAAAAAAAATTACTTTGGTGTTGAGGGTCAAATGTCAATGTAGCAAGCAGGAGCGACTCAACCTGATACCACATCCCTGCAAGTTTACTTAACCAGCTGACTCCATCCAAATGGCTTTCGGGCCTCGGAAAGTCTAGACTCAAACCAGTGTTCAGCTGAAGGCTGGTCGTAGCCATCAAATCCTCTTCAGGGAAAAGTCTATGTTCGCTGGCCGAAACAGACTGCACCCTGCTTGTGATTCAGCAAAGCTGAACGTAGTCTTGTTTTTCCTGCGTATCAAAGCATATTTGTTCTCATCTAACTAGAGCACATTCTTCTGCAATATCTTCAAAATATGGTTTGTAACAAGCTAATTATGACGGTCCTCATGGATTCCTTCCAACAATGACATTTTTCTATCCACTCACCCATTAAGGATTTCAGCCCAGCTTGTGATTTTTTCCCTTGAGCTGTGGATCTCTGCAGCTCCTCAAGGATTGCCCTTTGGCCTTTTGGCTGCTTCTAATATTAATAATGTCCATGCCTGATTTGCCAGTTCAGGTGGATGGCAATGTCCTGTAGGATTACAGTTATGCTATAGTCTTTCTGTGTTTTGATCATGACTTGACATTAACACCCTCCAAATGCATGTGAATTTCAGTTGTGGTGCGTTGCACAGCTACTCCTATAGCCACTTTTGCCAGTTGGATTCTATTTACTTAATTAAATGTGTTTTTTTAAACATCATCTGCAATATTAAGCAAATCTGTGTGACACTAAGTTTCCCATGAGCACAACCTATGCTTGCTCATTGCTCCATTCATGGCTGATGTCACTGCAGAAAGCATTGTCTGAGGAGAACAAAGTTGTAAAGCTGTCAGAGCATATTCAAACCCACAGTCCACAGATCAGACCAAAAAAATATATATATAATAGGAAAGGGAAGACAGAATAGAAGGCACTTTAACACACTGTTGCCAACTTACAGTAGCAATGTTGTCACTATATTTAGCAACTTTTCAGACCCCTCCAGCAACTTTTTTTGTTTTTTGTGTTACTAGCGACAAATCGAGTGATTTTTTTTTACCTGTATTGCTTTAGACTTTTCTAACAACATATGAAAGCATTGATTGCTAAGACTTTAACAGCCCTCTTCAGCGAGGAATGGGAGAGCCAGCCCCTCCCTCTCCCGAACCAGACAGGGAGTCAAACACACCTCTGCAGTCAATACTTGCAGGCAGAGAGAAGGGGGTTTCTACTCTGTTTCTCTTATTTAAAAGTGTATTTTTATAACACAATTCAATACTAAGACAATTCAAAGGGCTTTACATGAATCAAATGTTAAAGCAGAAACCAAATGAAAGCAAGTAAAGATAAAAATAAGTTAAAAACAGGAAGCCAAACCACAAACTCAAACTTTAAAATCTTTGTTAAGAGTAACTTTAACAGTTAAAGGCAAAGAGCTCCGCCTTTCAGCTCTTTT